AGAAAGATCAGTTAAATTATTTTTTTCCCGTTATACGGATATAAAATATTTATAGTTTATTAAATATTAAGGTTCCTTAGACGTTGTTTCCTGCAAATGACGCGATTTCGGCCCCGGAACCGGGTCCGTGGGGCCTAAGAGTTTAAAATATCTATCTTTCTTCATTAAAATGGGCAGGAATGGCTTTACTGTGGGTTTAAATAACAAAAATGTTATGACTTCAAATGGTACATTTCTCTAGTAGTTGCTTTCATACTGTATGCATATCCGTAAGTTGTAATTTGATACAATTAGGACATCAGAAAATGTCTGTATGCTCTTGGCAAGCTGGGTGAACCTTTACCAAGTGCATCTGACAATCTGTGTATCTGAGGCACGTTTTGGAAAGTCCATACTGCACTTGGTAGTTCCCTTTCAAAACGATGATATCCTGTATAAATCTTTGTCAAGTAGGCTGCGGAGTCTTTGAGGTGTTGCAGTTCTCTGATATCTAAAAAGATCACTTCTGTTTACAGTAGACGGGTAAGAGAGTATGTGTAAGTGTGTAATAAAGCCTCATCTCTGTCTGTCTCCATTGTACAAAGATCAATAATGAATCATTCACCATGATGGCAAAAAGCTGCCGTATCAAATTCATAAATATGGATAAATAAACTGGAATTACTGTAAAACTGCCTGATTTATTTTCAGGGAGGAGGACAGAAGCTCATACTTGGCTGCTGCCCAAAGATGTCATCACTAGATTTGAAAAAAAAAACAGACATCTAATCACATCTTTCAAGACAGAANGTGTGCCTTGGCAGATGGCAAAAAGCTGCCGTATCAAATTCATAAATATGGATAAATAAACTGGAATTACTGTAAAACTGCCTGATTTATTTTCAGGGGAGGAGGACAGAAGCTCATACTTGGCTGCTGCCCAAAGATGTCGTCACTAGATTTGAAAAAAAAAACAGACATCTAATCACATCTTTCAAGACAGAAAACAGCCTCTTCACTAAAACATGAAATGATTTGCCCATAAAATATCAAATTTGGCCAAGATTGAAGAGTGGAGTGTGAAGGACGTGATCCCCAGGAGACCACGGCTCAAGGCACATGATTGAGGTTGAAGGATTATTGCAGATCACACCCGTGACGAAGTGCAGAGTGAAGTGTAAATCTGTGTTTGTTGTCTTTATGATGGCTGACAGTGTAGCGCTGCCATTACTGGCCCTCTTCCCTCACACGCTGCCGCAGCCAGCAGCCCCTCTCAAAGTTAATAGTCCTCTGCAGGAGAAAGATATCTGCTCCTCGAGACACTATGAGTAAACCGACTGTGAAAACATATCAACAACATTGTGTTATCCAAACTAGTCCTAAAACAGTGGGTACAAATTGCTACTATGAAAATGGGAGAAACAGAGCTCAATGATTTAATTAATCGAATCAATCTTATGTGAATCAGTTAAACCTAAAATAAAAGATGGACCTTAATCCCAGATCAAATGTACGTTAAAGGATTTTGAATATATTGTCTCTTGTGATTATGATGTTATGTTAAATGTGTGGCGTCTTGTCTTTATTCATTTTACAAATAAAGCTGCTGTGATGCAAAAAAAAAGTAAAAATGTATGTAACAAGTAAGTGTTATCGTGTGTGTGTGTGTGTGTGTGTGTGTGTGTGTGTGTGTGTGTGTGTGTGTGTGTGTGTGTGTGTGTGTGTGTGTGTGTGTGTCTGACTGACTGACTGTGTTTATGTTGGTGCCATGAGCTAGAAGCATAGACACTGAGGGTTTATGAGGGTTTCCTTTGATGTTAGGGCGCACAGTGGATTATTTATGGCCTCGAAAGTGGCGGTAACCAAGAAGTTGCTGAGCTCCACGAGATAAAAGCTCACAATAAACAGATTCTTAGTGTGCTTTAGCCCTGATTATATACTGGGGCTGCATCCCAGTGGAATAAATATGCATGCAAAACTGTCAGCTTGATTATATCTTTCCACAAACAATGGCGTGCTGTTCAAATGTACCGGGGGCTTCAGGCACACTATGCCCCACATGCCAGGATTTTTTATTAACAATAAACCAGAAATAAATAGGTGTTTTCAAATTCTAATTAAGGAATATTTAGTCAGCAAACAAATATGTTCGAATGGAAAGCATCTAGCACCTTGTCATAACAGGCAGTGAATTGGTGTAATTATTGCCTAGCGTCTACAGTTTGAAAGCGTTGTGTAATTACACAACATTATGCAAAGCACACATTATAAAACCTGGTGACAACATGACCTAGAAGTGATCTCCGTCAGTTACAAAACCACAGACAAGCTGCCACTTGACTGTTAGCAACAAACTTCACAAAAACTTGTCCTGGTTGGCACTCTCTGCGGCTTCCTCTCAATCCCAACATGATTTCAGACCTGGCAACCCTCAGTTGTTCCTGACACCATAATTACAGACTCAATAAAAGAGCCATGTCCTTATTTGCCTCTTCTCTCACTCCATCTACTTTAAAAGAAACTTCCCTCTAACGCCTCCCTCGCTCTCTTTCTTTTATTTATCACATTTTCTGCCCCACGGAGACCCTTCAGAGGGGGGGAGAATCCCATCAGAGGGTAACACGGCGTGGCCGGTGACCACACAGGAAGCTTTTGATTCCTGCAAGAATGTCCTGAGCTTTGGAAAACTGTCAAACACACTGGACACAATGTTGGAGCTGAAGCACAAAGGCACTGCTTCAAATCGATCCACCACGCAGGGCCACTGCTGAAAACGTCATTATGCTAATATAGTGGCTACCCTTGAGCTAACTCAGACATAAAAGAGAGGTGAATGGCCAAAATAAAAAAGGTGTCCAACTACATGAAGGAAATAGGGTTTCTTACCGAGTTTAGGTCCAGGCTGGTCTGCACCCACTCCTTGGCATCGTTATATTCTTCCATCAGTCCCATAATGTAAAGTGTGTCCAGTGAGTCGATGATGGAGGCTCCTCTGAGGCCGCCTGAAAAACAAACAAGAGAACTGATTTAGTGCCCGTTTAAAAAGAGTCGCTTGGCTCAAGAGACATGTTTTAACTCCTTATACAACTCTTCATTTTACAACCATAACATCACACGTGCAATCATATATAGGCAAATGTGGTTTCTTGAAGTTTGATGTGTAAAACAACCTCTGATGTTCTTTGTAAATGCTTTAAAGGTCCCATGACATGTGACACACACACACACACACACACACACACACACCTTTTCTCAGCCGCGGTGCTGCGCGGAGCTCCATACACACACACACTCGGAGCTCAGGCTGGGAGTGTGTGTGTGTACTCAGGCTGAGTTCCGTGGTGTCTCGCAGACCCCACGCGGCAACCAGGAAATGACACCAGTAATCCAGCTCACACTGTCCGCTCCTCGAGCCTCAAAGGGCGGAGCAGCGAGCCCCGCAACGTCCCACCAACACCAGACCCCACGCAGCATTCTCATCTGTTTGTCATTACTGGTGTCATTTCCTGGTTGCTAACGCCATTGTAACACATAATCACTGAAGTTCCACTGTAACGGTGGTGCAGGGCCGGCCCGTAGCACTGGCGTTATAAATGTTCGCCTAGGGCGCCAGATCTGGGGAGGCGCTGCGCTGGTAGAAAAACATATTTGACCGTTGGTGCTCATCCTAATTTTAGGCCTTGATGTAACA